CATATAGCTTTTTTAAAGCTTGTTCTAAATATTTCTTGTGTTTTACTACACGTCGTCTAATTATTGGAAACGCTGTGTGTGCAAATACAGGCAAGCATTTATGAAAGCTTTAAGCAAGTGGTCACATGGAGGAGAAAATGAAGGAAAAGGGGGTCTTGAATTCGTTCCCAACGAGATGAATTCATGTGATATATTTCAGGTATTTTATTGGTCTCTTTCATGTAATCAGAAGGTATAGTTTAGAGCCCTAAGCTTTTCACACACAGCGTGTGTGAAATTATATTAATATTATACTAAATCATTGATAAGTGTCTAAGATTTTGGTGTACATACTTGAAATTATGAGATAGTTAGTTGATTATGTTTTCTATTATTATTAGTGTAAATTATACGTTTAATATCTACATTATTAGTTTTATTCTGTTTTGGTATTTAAACTTTCATTTTTTAAAATCATACTTAAAATTTAGTTTTTGTTTCATTTTAGTACCATGTCGTTTAAAACTTTAGTTTTTGTTTCATTTTAGTATCATCGCTCAAAATTTAATGTTATGTTTTGAAAAATTGAAAGTTTAAGTATTAAAAAATAAAACTAATAGTTTAGGTAATAAGGGCATTAAGTTTTTAACAATAGGTACTAAAAATGACAAAAAAACTAAACGTCAGGTATGATTTTAAAAAAATTAAAAAATTAGATACTAAAACGGATTAAAATTAATAATTTAAGTGTTAAATACGTAGTTTACCGTTATTATTATTATTATTATAGAGAGAAACTAAATTAAAAGCATGTGTTTTCTTCAAAGACAATAACAGTCAAATTCAACTTCCTTCCCCCTCCCCCAACTTTAGAAAAACGAAGATGGATTACGATAGGGTCCATTATATCCGAATATATATTATACAAATAAAATTGTTTAAACTCAAAATTTTAAGATAGAATAATATTTTTTATCACTAAATAGCTTAACAAATTAACATAATATGAAATCTTACCACACACAAAGGAAATTTAACTACAATTTTATCATTTTAAAGTTCTGAGGCTCTCTTATTCACATTGATCTTTTGTAGTCATATTCTATATAGCTTATCTAAATAAAAGATGAGGTTAAAAAACTTAAATACTTATTTTTTTAATAAAATGAGTATACTAGTTTTAAATTTTTTTCTTTTTAATATATTAAATTATATTAAATTATTTATTCAATATAATAAGTATGTACTTGATCCCAAGTGCATCCGCTTTTGATCCTATATATTTGCCTTTTAGTGCAAGGCATGCATGGGCTGATTCAAGGTAGAGGTGAGTATTCGATCAAGTTAAAAAGTTTTGAGTTATTCGAGTTGACGAGTCGTATTTTACAACTCAAACTTAATTTGAAATTTTTTGGAGTCAATGTGAGTTTAAGAAATTTGAGTCAAGTTATTCGAGTTTATATACTAATTTTATTGTAATTATTTATATCATTATAGCAAGGATTTGTACCAATTTTTCGACTTTATCTAATTATATAATATATATATATATATATATATATATATATATATATTATTTTTCACATTATAATGTCATTTAATATATCAAATGCAAACTAAAATTATAAAATATATTCATAATATTATATTTTTAAAGAAATTATTTTGAGCGTAAAATATTGATGAGAGTATAAAGGAGTCAAAGAATTAATGGAAAGAAAGAATTTGCAAACAATTGTAATCAAAAGACTAAATTGAGTAAAATCCAAAGTTAAGGGACTAAATAAAAAGAGAGTACATCTTCAGTAAAAAAGTAAGAATTGAAGTTATGTAGGTATTCTATTGTGGTATATGAGTACGTGGTTCAAATTTGGTAAAAAAGGGACTTAAAATAAAGGATGAATTGAAGAAATTAGGAAATTATGAACAATTGAGGGACTAAATTGAAAAATTAAAAAATTGTTATAAAAAAGAAGAATTGAAAGAAAATATGTATTCTACGTTGGTTTAGGAGCATGTAGTTCAAATTTGGTGAAAATTGACTTAAAATGAAGGAAGAATTAAAAGAATAATAAAATTAGGGACTAAATCATAAAACTGTCAAAATACATAGCCAAATTTTTTGTTTTTCAAAAAACTCGAAATTTCAAAATTTTGAGTTATTCGAACTCAAAAACTGAATTGATAATTTAAGTTGAATCGAATAACTCGAAATTGAAAAAAATCGATATTTCGAGTTGAGTTGATTTTTGTTCCCTAATTCAGTGGTCTCGACTCTGGAAAGACACAAATCTAAGTTTTTTTTTTACATTTCTATATTTACTGCTATTATTACTTATTATATCTTATCTTATCAACATAAATTAGGTTGAATGTTGTGGCATATATAAATCTCGGGCGGTGCCATATACCCATCAAAATTATTCGAATTCAAATACGATTGGGAGATGGAGTGCTGCATTTAATGTGAGTTGATGTAATAACTACAAATGATTTGATTTTATGTTATTCGTGCCCGGACAAAAATCGATTACGACACTTGTGATTTTGACGAATTCAGAAATGAAAAAGATCTGATTTTGTTGTTCAAAGTTCAACCCCCAAGTTTATGAATATGACCCGGAAGTTAACTATCTCCCTAAAATCATTCTATTGCAGGAGACATTTAAATGGATATGGAATATGATCCAAATATTAAGTAATGATTGAAAAATTAATATTAAAAAGGAAGTCAACCCCAATGAGGATTTGTATCGGACAAAATCTAAAATATATTAAATTTTTAGAAGGCGATTGCGTCCATCCACCCCTCGATCCATTCATGTGAGTGTCCTCTAAATTATTTTGTTGTTTGAACAAGTGCGTTATGCATTGGAAGTTGGAACTGAAATATTATACCTTATTTTGTTGTTTGAGTGCGTTATGCATTGGAAGTTGGAACTGAAATATTTATACTTGATGTTATTGTTGAAAGATACTAGCTTTTGGTTCCACAAAATTTTCTGCTTCCTTTCCACCAAAAGAATGATATTCCATTTGTGTAGGTTTGAATCGCTACCATTTCATTTGGTATTTATAAGGTTAGTCTTATATTTCATATAATCTACCATGTAAAATCTTTTTTAATGTGTTTTTCCCCTGAGGATGGTATCTTCATATGAAAGATTGTAGGCTTTTAATCTGCTCCAAATGCTAAACAAGGAAGAAGAGATGCTCTCTGCTATTAATGAAAAACAACCGAAGGTATTAATCTGCTTAAATTAGCCTATTTGTTGTACTCTATATTTGCGTTTTCTTCCTGAAAATTTTAGTTTCGTCAACGTTCTAGAGATGAGTTGTGCTGAAAATTTTACACCGGAAGATTCATAGCTTTAAGAATAACATTAAGTGGTCTCAACGAGTGTTGCTCCCCCTAAAGATCTTAGGTTCGAGCAGCTGCATCTGTGGTGTGTACACACACGATATTAATAGTCAAAAGAATTCCGATTAAATATTATCTTGTAACCACCCCAAACTATTAAAGAAAGTAACATCTTAAATGTTATAGAATGGCAAAGGTTTCGCAGGCTCACGACCACAAACACCAGCCAATGGTCTTTGGTTCCTAGCCTAATAACATCTTAACATAATAACATCTTATGGTTAGGATGCCAACGATGAGCATGTGAGTTTGGTGAGTTAGACATATGTCCTTCGAGAAAAGGAATTTATATTGCCATCCACTCTCTTCTTTATTCTCACGTTTATAGCTATTTACCATATTATTAGTAGTTTAATATCATATTTAAAATATTTTTGAAGATGTATACATATATGTTAATATCATATGGCGTAACAAAAATAAATTTCAAAATGAATATTAATAAAACAAATAATTAACTGAAATGAATTCAAATTTTAAAAGACACTTACCGCACTATGCCAGCCTGTAACAGGTAATAGCAAATCTTTTCTTTTCAGTTATTTTACAATGAAGTACATACAACTCCCAAAGTGAAGTAATGACTGTCCCTTGTCTGGTAGCACTTACAGACAACTCCCCCTTTAACCCATGTGGATGTTTTGCCGTTGGTTTTTGCTGACTAATGTCTCTCTTAAAAGTTTATTATTTGATTCCTATAATAAATAACTTTAAGGGCATTGTTTTTAATGATAAGATCTTTATACTATGCATTCAAAGGGGGGGGGGGGGGAACGAACGATGAATTAGTATATTGAGCTCCCTCTAAGAGCTTGAACCATCTACGCAGATGACTGGCATATCGTTTTACTCTCTTACCTTCTCCAACGGCTCAGTCCAAATTCTGGGATTTTAAACCAAACTAAAACTACACACATCAGCTCATGTGAGCAAAATTGATGGGAGCAGAATTATTCACCGAATTCGTTACTTTCTTTAGAAGATTCAGGTTAAAACAACTCTGATTGTAGAGTGAGTGTGTACAACCAATAATAAAAAAAAATTCTGAACAAATACTATATTATAATTATCGTTGACTATTTAAAGAAAATGATGGGAGTAAATTTGAATACACATTTCTCCTTTTAATGGTTAATGAGGTCTGATGATGTTCTGCTAAAGAAAAAACATGGTTAAAACGTAAGACATCAGCTCTTCTAAGTTTCTGGGTACATCGCCATACCAATGTTATGTTGATTTAAGAAAATAGAATAATTTTGTGCTTGTAATTTGTAAATAACTTGGTCTAAAAAAGAAAAGTTTGCCTGCTGCATACTGAGTAATCCACTGACAAAAGCAACACCAGATTTGTTTCTTCACCAATGCCAAAGCGTTCCCTAAATCCCTTTTTTCCCCAATAACTTTATGGGTCTAATCTATATTGAAGATAACCCAAATGTGGAGTAATCTTTTAGGTACTATCCACACCTAGGTTAATTCGAATGAAGTAAACTTGACCAATGATGCAGACTGTTACATTAAAAAAGGGAAATACTTCTACAAATGCCACAAAGCTCAAGGCCCTTCACCAATTAAAGAGGATAAAATAAGCATTCAACAATGGCAGCAGGGGATGCTTTTTATGTGTAGGTATAAACAGTTTTTGGTGCAATTACATGTAATTTTGCAAACCAATAACTGAAAAAAGAGAAGGGAAAACAAGACTTTGTTCTGAAAATCAACAACAAAAAGACTTGAATGAAGCCAGAACTGCAAAACACAGAGATTATCAAACACTTACAAATTACAATATTTCACAACCCGCCATTACACCGTTCTTCTTCCCCCACCAGCCAGATGCTGCAATTCATTCTCATCAGTTTGACCACCAAATCAAAGATTACATGATTGAAAGAAACACCAAGTCCCTCAAGGGCAAAAAGAAGGAAAACTTTCAAGAATCAATACATTGAAAGCCTCAGCAAACCCATAACCAAATCCCAAATAAAGTAGCACAAATTAGCAAATCCAGTATCAGAACCACCCAGACATGTTTCCTCCAGGTTTGCTTAGCCTTTTGCCTTTCCCCGCCATTACCCAAAGGACCACTCTTTTGCATGGAAACTGAGAAATCTCTAAATTCATCACTCACATCAACCATGTTATCCATCCCAATCCCACCACCACCCCCATCTTTGCCCTCACCGCCGCTGACTTCCAAACCACCGGACCTTTTCTTCTTTTTTAACCCCTTAATCGGCTGCCCCAGCAGTGGAATTACCATGGTTCCTTTCCCTCTGTCAGAATCCATACTTGGGTTCCGACTGTCTTTTGCTGGATACCCAATTAACTCCACGTCTAAAGCCATTAACTCTGAAAAAATTGGATTGAAATGGGACTGGATACAATTCGGGGTCAAATCATCGGTACACAGAATCGGACCAGTGAGGAGAAAATCCTCGAAAGCAATTTTCAAGCGATTCAAGAACCAAAAAGACTCGGATTTGACAAGATCCTCGTGGGATATGATGAGATAAACAAAAGGGTCGTCGATTACGAAGGTGTGGGATTTTTTAGAAGCTGTATGAGAGAAGACTGAATGGAAAGGAGGGGTTTTCTCGATGCATTTCTGGGCTAACGATTCGATTCCCGGTTCTTTGCGAGAGAATTCCGCAAGAATCGTGGGTCCTTTTGCAATGCAAGCATACAATATCATATATTTGGATCGGAAACCATTTGATGGGCTGTTCTTAAAACACTGGGCTAGCTTTCTTCAGTTTCTGTTTACAGTTTTTGTATGGTATTTTTGTTAGGTTTTCTTTTTTGGAGATGAAACATAGGATTCAAAATTAAGACGAGGAGAAGGGAAGAATTATGACACTACGATTCCCTTTTCAATAAACATTTTTCATGAAAGAGTATTATACCCTTAAACAAGGATTGTAATTACGGGCTATGACCTTCAGAACTTTATAATGTTTTCGGGCTTTTGTCGGCACCACCACCTTCCAATAACACAATGCACTGTAGTAGAACTACAATTTAATTTTATCTTCTTCATCTCTTTTTTCTTATTTTTCATTTTAGAGAAAATAATAATTTTTTAATAACTTAGATTACTCAAAAGATTTTTTTGTATTAAAATGTGCCTGAATTTGGTTGAAATGTGATGGCATTGGACAATTATCATATGATAAAGCTTCAACTGTTTACGGTTTTATATCATTACTACATCACTGGCATAAATGATAGAAAATAAATAGCAACATGGAAGCCAAAAAAAGTTCATATAAAAAAGTTCATATACCAACAGAGTTGTTTCAAATAGTAAGCAGCTTGATATCATTTAAATAAGGTCTCAAGTTCGAGTCTTTATGTATGCAGAAAACTCCTAATGGGAGACTCACCCACCAAAACTATGTATACGATGCGGGTCGGTTTGAATTAGTTAATAAAAAACCTTAAATCCAGAGGACAAAAAAAGTTCATATCACACATTCAGTTGCTTTTTTTGGAACACTATAAAAATCAGAGTATCAAATAGCGTTTCGAAAACGTGATAGCGGTCGTGATATTGCGGTCGCGCCACCGTCCGAAACCGATTTTCATAGTTTTTACAGTGGTTCATAGATTCACACCAATCTCGATCGATTGCGCCCGTAATTTAACGAGAAATGGACGATTGCGCCGATAACGGGACATAACAACCGTTATTCAACCATATTCTAAAACAAAAACAAAAACCAACATTCCCTGCATTTTTTTTTTGTTTCAGACAATGATTGGGGGGAAGGAGGAAGGGGATGATAAAGGGGGAGGCAGAAGCTATGAAGCATGGGGAGGGCAAAGGAGTCCCGTTTCAAGTACCCGATACATTTTATGCAAGGGGACGATTGGGGTACTTACAGGGGACGTACCACGACAACGCTTATCCGAGGACCCAGGGGTACTTTTGGTTATGCTTGCTCCACTGATCTTGCCGTCATTCAAACCGGAGTTAGCTCTCCATGTGGTTCTCTGGTTACGAGGGATGTGATCGGATCTCTGAGCTTCAAAGAAGAGAATACTCTTACTCAAAGCTTGGTTGTAGTCATGACCATCAAATACAAAAGAAAGGTAAAATAGAAGAAACAAAAGAGCCATTGAAAATGGACGATTTCAAGGTTTGTGAAAAGAAAGAAAAAATTAAAAGGAATAAGAAACGGCCGCAAGGAGAGAAAGAAGAGTTAGAATAGGATTTAAAGAAATTTTGGTATAATTTCCAGTCGATCTCTGAGCTTTCTAGGGTTTAATGATATTTTAACACGTTTTACAGTATTTTTAAATTGGCCACCAAAATTAATTTGGGGATTTAGAAAAAACATTCTCAAATGTTAAGATTTTTAATTAGGGATAAGTTAGGGTGTTACACCAATTTTCTATGAAGTATTGACTCTATTTATGATTTTTTATACTTATTTATAATTTAAAATTTTTATATGACGTCCCCATACCCTATAATTTTAGAAATTGCCATTTTTTGTCCTCGTGTTCGTATCCGTATTAGTGCAACATAGGGTAGAAGGCCAGAATCATTTTTGTTTCAGACAATGATGGGGGAGGAGGAAGGGGAGGCAGAAGGCCAGAACTAGAAAGGTCGCAAAAGGAGAGGCAGAAAGGTTAGAGAAGGGGGTGATTTATTTCTTTTTTTAAATAATTTTAAAAATATAATTTTAAAAGATATATTAATTTGAGATCCCTCCCACTTTTAGAATTTACAATTTAATCCCTAATTTAAAATGTAAACTTTAATTTTTAATTAATTTAGTCTTAATTTCAGTAATCTAAATTTATGTAATTTAAAATTTTACAATTTTATTTTAATTATATTTAATTTAGTCATTTTAGGGTTAGTTGTGCGATATTTAAAAAATTCACGACCGCGATACCTAGGGTTTCAAATCGCGGTCGCAGTCGCGTTTTCGGTTATTTCGGATTTATCGTGATTGCGGCCGTCGCGGGCGCTATTGCGGTCATCGCGGACGCTATTGCGGCCGTCGCGGGTAACTCGGACAGCGGCGAAACCACTATATCGCAGCCGAAATCGCGGTCGCGGACCGTTTTTTGAAACCCTGGCGATACCCGCAATGACATCTGTTATGTCCGCAACCGTGATAAACACGGCACGATAAAAAACGTGACTTTGAACGCTATTTAAAACCCGATAAAAACCAAAATAACTATCATTCAGAGGTTGCCATGGCGACTGTTCACTGTGGAAAACCATCCGCTCCCTTTCTTTTACGTGGCCGCTCAAAACAGGAGCTTTCAGAACACAGAGAAGAAGAAACAAGGAAGCTTTTTAAGTGATGAACATTGCACATCCGTGAGAAATAAAATGTTACAAATTTCGGTTTTCAATTCTCTGTTTTAAGGGTGTAATGAATGCTAAAATAAAAGTAATGATAAATGTGTAGATCAAATATCAATGAACCTAAACACAAAGGGAAACCTCGATGCATCCACTGCACAAATAAATACCAATCTTCATTGCTAGCTTAGCTGTACAAACTATGATCAATTAAACAAAAATATATATTATTGTACTATATGAGAAAATTTAACTTGTACTCCCCTCTAAAGCAAATTTGAAGTTAGCTGACAGCTATCTTGCAAACTTAACTTTTTAATCCTTAAATTTGACAATTTTTTTAAAACCTAATCTCTGTACTTTTTGTTGTTGTTTACATTGTCCTTAATTTAAGGTGAAAGAAAGATTTCATGGCACCTACGTGGGGTTGGGGAATGGTGTATAATTGATTGAAATCATCATTGGTTAATCTTAATTCTAACCTACGGGATACTGAGTTTGAAGAAAGAACCAAGGATGAATTAAAACCTAACACCAATCGTTCCTTAAGAAAGATCGAAGGTTTGAATCTTAATGTTTGTGAATAGAGCAAACTGGGTTGGAATGATCCTCCATAATGAACCTCTGCAAACATGATCCAAATAGTTGATCAATAAATCGGATACAGATACCAATAGCGTAGTTCATGTAACATTGAATTGATAAAACACATATGCTGCATATTTATTTCATCTAAGTTGACAAAGATATACTAGGTGTTGTCGCTACACTTGAAAAAGTAGATAATGAAAATCTTAGTAAGTATATTTTATTAATCTTTATGCTTCATGTTTGGCAAGATTATTAGTCATTGTACAACAGTTCTATAGTTTGGATGCTTTTTGCATGAGAAAGTTATCCTTTATCATTCTAGTAAGCTGGATAGCTCATGTATAGGGGTCAATTTAAAGGAGGGATAGGGAGAAGGAATATGAATTGTAGCTTATGCCTTATGTTGTGGTTTATGTTTTTTTTAATGGCGATGATTGATTGTATGTGCTGCATTATAGTTATTTTGACATTTCCCTGTGAGTAGGTCGGCTATTTGCATTTAGAATATATAGTGTCATTAGGATATATATATATATATATATATATATATATAATATTCTAAATAATATAAAAATAGTAGATCTCCAGAAATATTTATAAAATAATTTAAATATTTATAATATTTAATATTGTGTCTAGAATTTATAGAAGATTATCATATTTCTAAGGTTAAAGGCTAATATTGATATGTTTCAACAATTCATAAACTAAATATATAAATAACGGAAAGTTTTATCATTGTAAAAAAGTGAAAAATGGGTGAAATAGTACAAATGGTGTGCGTTAGAGAAAGAGAGCTTAGAGATAGAAGAAAAAAAATAACGGGAAAATGTATAATATTGCAATTATATTTTGTATTAAGTGTTTTATTCTTTAAGTTTCTCGGTTAAGCCTGATTTATTTTAAGTTCTTAATGCTTGTATTAAATATGGTCAGTTCTACTGCCTAAATAAATATGATCGTTATATCGTTTAATTGATATATAATCGACTTTGCTATATGAATAATATATCGACTGTCATTTTAATATTATAATAATCATTGTTTTGACTTTATTTGATATTAGGAAAAGGTAGATGTGAGATTCTAAAGAACTCAACAACGTAAGCTGCAAAGCTACAATGAAATCGAGAAGCGTATGCACAAAACAAGATTGGTAAAGAAAAAAGTTAAAAAGGGATATTAAGAGGAAGTTGCTTTGTTAGTGTCTGTCGCAACCGTCTTTCTTGTGGATCCAAAATTGGGCTTCGACTTGAATGAAATGTGTTGGAGCCGCCACCGATCGTTTATTTTAAAAGTAAATAGGTTGATCGATACCTCGATTTCTTACCTGATCTGCATTTACCAAAGATATGTCGGATTCGGGAGTCGGTTACATTCAAGGAAGGGTTAGCACCTTGAACTGCCCTTTCGGTATTAATTAATTTCCAATTGTCTTCAATTAAGAAAGTGATAAGTTAAAGTAAAAGGTAAAATAATGATCCAAATTACTTAACTCTGATAGATTTAAAAGTGTACCCTTAAGGAGTCAAGAACGTGTAGATAGAAAAACAAATACTGAATCAAATTGCATGCTGAGGAATTAAAGGAAATAAAATATAAATAAAGTGTTCATATTAAAATACACAACAAAAAAATCTACTAAGGAAGAATAAAAATTAAAAAAAAGACAAACCCTAAAATAAAAGTTAAAAACAAAATAATATAATAAAACAAAAATAAAGTGAAAAAAAAAACAAAAACAAATAAGTAAAAAAAAGAGAACAAATAAACAAATAAAAATAAGGAAGAAAGCAAATAACGAATTAAACGTAAAATACAAACAAAAAGGTAATATATATATATATATATAATAAGATGTAGTATTAATAAAATAAATAAAAACAATAATGAGGGAAAAATAA